TTAAAAAATAAATAAGACACATACGAACTGCCTCTAACACTTTCCCTCAAATATTTGCAGATAATTAATTCCCTGTTAATCAGTTAGGAATGGTTCTTTTATACTCCATAAATAAGGAGAGGGCAACTCGGGCCCCACCAATGTAACTCTGAATGCACCGCGGTGCAGAGTCGGGAGGCTGCTCACGGGAAGGGCCTGGAGCCGCTGTGCTGGAGACGGAAGGGCTCCCGCCGCCCACGTCCCCCCCAACACCCCCGCCCCAGCGGCAGGTGGGACTGGGGGCTGCCCGCCTCTCCGGCCCCTCTCCCCTGCTCATACCACCGCTCCAAGGGGTTTCCAGTGAGTCACCGTGAGCAGCTGGTGACCAGGGACGGCGTGAACGAGAGGCCGGGCTTCCTCGGTGCTGTATTTAGAACAGCACAGAAACTCCCACCTCTGGTTCTCCACCTGCTCAGACCTCGCGGAAGCTCCCCCAACTCTGCCTGCCGCCCCTTCCCTCGCTGGCCCTGCCCTGGATCCCATCTCGCCGGGGGGTTACTCCCTGCTTAGCGTCCTTCCTGAGCGTCCACAGGGTCTCACCACAAAGCCCTGAGCTTCGCAGGCCAGGGGCTGGCTCCCCCTCCATTCCTGGGGCTAGACTCCAGGATCCAGCTAAACCCTCGGGCCGGGAGTCCCATGTGAACAGGACGTAAGCATGTGATCCCATGCACCTGAGTTTGGCCAGTACCGTAGGGCCTCCTCTGCCTGGAACGGTGGTTCTCAACCTCAGCTACTCGTCAGACTCACCTGGGGGATTTCAAAGGTCTTGACACCATGGCCACACCAAAGTCCCGAGAGATCAGAGTCTCTGTGGAGTGAGGGGCCCCGGCATCAGTATTTTTTAAGACCCCACCCAGTGTTTCAGGGGCATCCCCGGAGAGGACCACGGCTCTCAGCTCTGGGCCCCTCGGCTACACCCTTTCTTCTCCCCTCAGGCTCCTCTACTCAGCCGACAAGACCCAGAACCTCGCCAACCTGCCAGGCATTGGGAAGCCGTGTGCCGCTGGGTGGCCGAACCTGCCCCGAGGCTCCCCTGCCCCAGCGCCAGTCGACAGCAGTGCTGCCCCAGCCTCAGCCACCAGACGGAGTCCTGGTCCTTCTGCTGGGTCCTCCCCACCCTGCTGACGCAGACACTTTCATGTGAGTGTTTGCTGATATTCATAGCATCTCTGGTCTGATCTATTCCAGGTCATACACTCCTTCATTCATTCAGCAAACACTGGTGATGCCGCTACTCTCTGCTCAGGCCTGGGCTGCACAGCAAGAAGGCTGTGGGGCTGAGGGAGAAGCGAGCACATGACACCGTCAGTCAGTTTCCGTTGCGTCCAACCAAAGGAAGAGGTACCCCTCAGGGTAAAAGTACTAGGACAAAGCTGAGTGCTTCACGGGGCTGCTTAAGGGGGCTGGGGGGCAGGCCCCTCGGCCATCGGGATGCCAGGGCCTGTGTCCGTGCATTGCTCCCTTTACAGCACCTGACCCAAGGTTAATGCACGATTAGCAACCTTCACCGCTACATACTGATGATCCTAATAATAAGCTTCATATCTAAACCTTCTGAAAGCACATAGAAGGGTGACACTGGGAGCTAAACATAGCTCAGAAAATATATAAAGCAGAAACGGATGAGAAATGCTCTCTTAAAGAACACGCCTGGAAGCATGGCTGTCAGAGGAGACGGTGCTTTAGCGTCCACCCTGTGTGCCTTTCTTAGCAACCGGGCCCTGTTTTGTGGGAACCAGCAAACACGCAGCAAACGAGTTAGATCTCCTGCCTCCCTTGCAGCTGGGCTTGGCCGTGTGATGCTGTCCTGGCACCTGCGGTGTAGCTGCAACACAACGGGGAGCTCTGTACTGCCTCTTGCTGAGCCCAGGAGCTGGAGCCAGTACCCGTGGGCATGAAAGCCATGCAATGAGAACAGCTGTGCAAAGCTACAGAGGGAGCCTTGGGCGTGGATGGCACGGCGGTGTCCCAAAGCCGCCTCGGCCTTCTCATGTCACGGGAGAAAAATAAACCTTTGTCTGTTAAGCTACCGAGGTCAGGGGTCTGATGCAGTCAAACAGCCCCCGACGGGTACGTGTGCTCTGGTGGACAAGGAGAGCCTCAGACCCTCACCTCTGAACGGGGTAACTGTTAACTGTTATGAGGGGTAGGAAATAATGCACGAAAAGGGCCTTGGTCAGAGCCTGGCATGCAGCTGGCACTCAGTAAAGGGCAGGAATATAATTCTCATTTCTGGCAAAGCCCTGCAGGCCCAGGAGGTCATCCTGTAAAATTCGAAGGTCAAATAGAAAACAAAGGTAAGCGGGATGCTAACTGAGCACCTTGCTGTGCACGCCAGGCTGCCAGCCAGACCACCCAACCCAGCGTCTCCAGGTTTCTTACTGGCGCACAGCTGAGCAAGGAGATTTAACTGAAAATCAAGTTAGCATAGGATTTGTAGAAACCCGGGTTTCTACAAACTGTGTTATAGAAACCAGCCATGAAAGCGCCCTTGGTATCTGTTTACTTTGTGAAGCACCTTCCATCTATCCTTCAGCCGATCTTCACCGCAGCCTCTGCGGCCGGGCAGGGGACCCAAGAACCCGGCACCCCTGCTCCCAGCCTCAGTGCCCCCCGTTGGGGCTGGAGGGGCTCTAGGAGCTGGCAGAGTGAAGGGGAAGAGGCACCACCCTCCCCTGGGCCCCCGCATGCCTTATTTTATTCTATCACTGCACTGTCTGGCCCGTTTGGTAGATTGAAAAAACGAAGGCTCGGAATGGTTAGGCGTCTAAGGCCCACGGCTGGAATCGCAGTCCAGTAGACACCTGGACCCAGGCGTGTCTGCGTCGGGGCCCTTCTGTCATCTGGGGGGCAGGTCCCCCCGGAAGCACAGGAGTGCAGATGACAACCGACAGCATGACTGGAAACGAGGAGGTTTAGGCCAGCCTGGCACTGGCGAGGCCCTGGGGCCTTGAGAGGTGTTTTTGCTCTGTGTTTTTAATCCTTGTATCCCTCCAATTGGCCCCATAAATGCCCTGACATTTTCCCCATAGAAGCTTTATTTAAATTTAAAAGCTATGCGGGAAAGAATGAAGCACCTCTCTGTAGGCTTCCTGCCTGTGTGAACACCAAGCCACGTGCGGTGTGATAAAGGGAGGCTGGGCTGCAGAACCAGCAGGCCTGGGCTCAAGCCCCTCCACGTGCCCCGCTCCCCTCCACACCTCTGCAAGAAGCCACCAGGCACAGGGCGTAACCACCAGTGTCCGCTTCCCCAGCCGCCACAAGACCCCACAAAGGCAGCCCAGCACCCGCTTTCTCCCACTAAGGAAGCCACAGCCACACTCATCTCTAGACAACCAAAGTCACACTGGGTTCATTTCTTGAATAAAACACCTCCCACAGGCACTTGCCAGAGAGATTTCCCATGAGTCGTTGGAAGAAACTGATCGATCAAGGAACTTAAAACAGGTGAACGCAAACAACCAGCTTTGAGCTATATTCAGCACGTCACAGAGAGCCAGGCCTCAGACCTGGATGGTAATTTGGAAACATCAAAAGGCAGGCTGTTTCTTTTCTCTCTTTACTCTAAAAAAGAAGGCTTTTCAAATTGTTTTCCAAACTTCTACGGCCAGACAACATAAATAAGGCGCGACAGTTACTCCCCCCCCCCCCCCCCCCCCCCCCCCCCCTGCCACTTTCCCGCCTTGGTGTCCAGGCAGCTGATAAGAGGGTAGTTGCCCTCGAGATTAAAAGCAGGTGACTTAAAATTCTGTTGGAGGTGTTTCGTGTTTGCATAGTACAAACATTCTTTTCTTTCAGAATGCCCCCATGTTGTTCAGCTCACTGCAACAAACATTAACAGAGACAAATGCGATGGGAAAAAAGTCATTCCTATCATGGGCCTTACAGTGCAGAAGGTGTCAAAGTGAATAATGACAGAGTCCCACAGTGAAAATCAGGCTAATCCTCGAATATTCTCTCTCCAACAGTCTCACAAATATCACTGGGACTGTTTGCAAAGCACTACAGAACATTATGACCATAGTAAGAAAGAATTTAGTCAATATTCTCAGTTATGAGGACACTTGCACATATCTGGCTGAAAAAGGGCTCTTGGTAGACCAAACTGCAGTTCCTTATATACAAAACGCCTTCCCTCCTATCACAAGGACTCCCAGGCCTGTCACTTCTCCCCTACCCCTCCTTTCACTTAATTATTTCCCTATCAGATAAGATGGAAGCAACGTTTCTGGATCTGGGCCAGGATGATAGATTTCTACACTGAATGCAGAAATCACCATGGTCCGTCACAAGGAACTCTCCATTCTTAAGACTGTTAGACAAAGAAAGATCTCGACTGGGAGCCTTCCCAGCCACAGAGAAGGTCACCCAGATGATTAAGGAACTACATACTGATTAAAGCAACAAATGCTGCACTCTGACGGTTACTATGGATTTTGTTACTGATGAAGAATCAAAGACTTGGCCTGGGGACATGTGTGTACATGTGTGCGTGCATCTGTATGTGCTTTGTGAATGTGCCCGTGTTCGGGGTTTTCTCATGACCACACGGCCCTTGAGACCCTTACTTTCCTCCGGGTCTGAATGCTTTGGAAGCATCCTGAGGCCGCCCTGGGCTGTGTACGGCACTTGCACTGAGAGCATGGCATTGTCTGAAGTCCTGTGGGGGCCCGTTCTGTGCAGAGCGCTTTATAAACGTGAGAGGGTGACTGGGCCTGCGGCAAGTTCTTACACAAACACATCCCGACTTTGGGGCTTTTCAGTGGAGGTTTCTAATCAGCCTGCATTCAATCCCAGACTCAACAGAAACTGCTGGTCAGACACATTTTTTGTTTACATAACCATCCCGTGGAGAACGTCTTTTCCCAGTTTCAGTGCAAGAATCAGAAGTGGAAAACTGAGGAGGAGGGAGGACTGGAAGGGGGCACCCCGGAGCGGGGGGCTCAGCCCTGGCGACTCACCATGGTCGTGGGCGAACACCAGCAGCTCCAGCCCCACCAGCATCCGAGCCAGCTCGTCGTAGCGGCCACAGTGCTCCCCGGCTCCGTGGGACACAAAGACCAGGGCCCTGCAGGGACGAGAGACGGCTGTTAGGAAGGCGCAGGCTGTGGAGGCCGTGTCCAGGGCGGGGCAGGGCTCCCGCAACATCAGCAGAGAGTCAAAGGCTAAATCACGGGTCTGGGTGAGAGGGCACGCTGTTAAAACATGGGCTTCAGGGTCTCCCAGAACAGAGCCGGCTCCTATAGAACAGTCACCACAACAGTGTCTCCAGCGGGGGCTGAGGGAGTCCCGGGAGCTCACTTCTGCAGGTGCTGGCGTATGGCGGGTCCTCCATCGGCCCCACCCAAGGGGCCACACCTGAGCCAGTCAGGGCACCATGGTCGCAGCCGCAGTCACTGACTGGCTCAAGTGGCTCTAGCCAAGCAAATGGGTCCAGGAGCAGCCGACCCTAGAAGACAGGTCAACCCAAGAGAGGAGAGGCACGTAGGGGGAACCCAGTCCTAACGGTGTTGTCTGGGCCCTGAATCCAGCCAGACCCGAAGCCAGCACGCTCCCAGCCCTGCTCCTGGCTGTGCCGTGCAAGCACTGGGTCTTCTGTCACTTGTGCCGACAGACAGTTCTTCCCACTGTCGTGCGGATACCTCCATTCGCACGTGCTTGCCCTCAGTTGCTGGAGTCTGTGCTCCGTGTGCACCTTTTCCTCTCTTCCCCCCTTTGCCCACCGGGCTCCCTCCTCCCTCCCTTCCAGGCCCCGCTCAGGGCCCCTCCTCTGAGGGAGATTCCACAGCTTCCTCTGGGATCCAAACCCTCTGCCCATCAGGGGCCAAGCGGCTTGCTGCCCTCCCCGCTGGCTGTAACCTTCTTGAGGACTGACCTCTCTCTCTCTCTCTCTCTCTCTCACACACACACACACACACACACACACACGCACGCACGCACCTTCTTGGACTTCAGGGAAGCAGCCTTTGTTCCCAAGACCAAAAACTGGGATCCAGCTACTAAGCCTCCTCCTCCCCCGAACCAGCCTTCCCAAGGGTCGGAGCCCCTCAGAGACAGTCCCAGGGCGGTTCTGGAAAGAAGCCCCATTTTCTCCCGTGTTCCAAGTGCTGGGGAGTTGGGGCCGCCACTGCCGGCTCCAGCTTCTCTAAACACACAGACATGGACACGCATGCACGCACGCGTGCACACCCTCAAAACAGTGACTATTACCATCATTGTCATTTTTATTAGCTCTCACCTACGGAGCGCTCACCATGTGCCAAGCGCTCAGCGCGCGCTCTAAGTCCATCTAAATCCAACTCTGCCGGCCCCTCTTTTTCTCTCTCTTTCACGCTCACACACTCCCACGCGCGCACGCACACGAGGCAGCGGTACCCACCCCCCCACGCGCCCTCAAGCGCTGCCTCTTTGTGGCTGGCACGGTTTTGAGCTACAGCTGGCACTCTGCAAATACGGTTTGAATGAATGAAGGAAGGAAGGAAGGAAGGAAGAAAGAGGCTGTGACGTTCTGAAATAAACACGGTATCTCGCACCCAAGATCTGTGTAGTGGAAGGCTCAGGCCTGGAAGCAGAGCCTGGCTGGGCGCCCAGTCCCCCAGCCGCCGAAAGCCTTCCATGTGGTGAGCCCATCTGCGGACACAGACAGCAGCCCCCATCACGCCGCAGCTCACCCCAGAGTGACCCAGCAGTGGAGGGTTACAGGAGGGCACTCAGATTCTTGAATATACAACTGCCCAGTCTAGTACTCAGCATGCGGCCCAGGGAAGCTAGAGTCCCCTTCAGGCAAGGGAGGAACTCCTGTGAGCCACGCCCATAAAGACGAGGGGGGAGGGAGGGGGG